TTGAGAGTTCACAAGACTACTAGTCCAGTGAATATTGCAAGACCAATATAAACGGGACTAGTAGTCCCGTTTATTTGTTGTTCGTGCACAAAAACGTGCACGCACAGTAAATGTGACTACTAGTCCTGTGGATTTTGCAGAAACAAAATCCACAGGACTATCAGTCCCGTATATTTCCTGAAAACACACTAAACACACAAGCTCATCCCCAAGCTCATCTCTTGTGTATATAAGTTATCTCTTGCGCATATAAAATATCTACTTCACCTCATGGACATATCCAAATATATAAATTTTATAAATACATAACTTTGTATACCTCTCGACAAAACATATAAGCTCCATACATCAATATATTGCAGTAAAACCTAATATATAATATATTTTTGCATTACATATTATCCATATCGATGGTTTCAATAGTGTCAATACAAATATTTCATACAATCCATATCCATACATCTAGAACACACAACCTTTCATTCATCTCAATCCCCTTTGTCTCGCTCGGGTTACACAAGAAGTTCGTCGTCATCCTTCAGGAAGTTGAGTTTGCACGAGTTCGCTGTCTAGTTGGGTGTGTATTTGTGATGGACCACTTGCAATCACCCCCCTCACATTTCCCTTTGCCCTGCATTTGTTCATTTGCCTAATGTGTCTAACCAGACGCAAGAATGACAAGCTCATTCTTTATCCCCATAATCATTACCCAATGCTTCCGTTATCAAGGCTTCTCTCTAAGGATAGCCCATATGTAGATTCATCGCTATTAACACTTCAAATAGCCTCATGTCCTTCTTTAGTAATTCTTAACTTTACCACTGACTACTAATTGTAACATATCTTTTATCTTTCAATCCACAACATCATACTATTATGCATCCTAAGCACCACCATGTCCATAATTACACAACCTGAAAAATATTTGCTTTCGGGCTAGCCTCAGCTTCTTTGATTGTCTCTTCTATTTGAGTGAAGACTGGACCAAGATTTATCAGTAAACCTGTAAACAAACAAGCTCAGTAGTTAGTTGAAGAATTCACTTGAAATTTGCATTATCATATGAATCATTGTGGAAAAGAAAAAACTCATTTTCTCAACTGGAAACTAAACCATATATCAAACATGAAAGATCAGTTATTGCCCTGTAGGAATTGTTGGAGCATAATCATTGACAGAAGGCTATAGCAACTAACTTACATAGACAAGAATATAACAAATGCTGAAGAAGTGAGGATGAAAAGTTCAATGCCACAGAAGGAAAAAAACTACTAACAAAACAATTCTCCATATTTACTAAAGGGCTAAAAAATTATGCAAATAACTCCATTAGATAATTGGTCAAATTTTACATCCAGCAAAAAATCAAGTGTTATTGACGACTAACAAATACAAGCACCGGGTACACAACAAAAAATATCTAACAGTGAGGGTATGTCAATTTATTTAAGAGCAACAACTTCAGTTATCAACATCTCCAATGATCAAGAGATAATTAAATTACAAAATATTCTTCAAGAAAATACAATTTTAGATAGAAAACACATTTAAAAAGGACAAAAAAAAATTAATAAAGGGATATATAAAAAATTCTTACTGGAACCCTCTCGAGTTATTTCTCCCTGATCCTCGCAGATTCTGACTTCCCCTTCTCTGCAAGAAAACAACCAACCGAGTACTACATGCCAGTTTAAAGAAATTAGAATTAGAGTTTAAATTAGGAAAAACAAAATAAAATAGAAATGTAAAAATTTTCACATGTCCTCTGCAGTATACAAACAGAAATAACAAGGTAATAATCTTAAATAAAAGGGGGAAAAGAAAATGAGACCACACTACAATTTAAAAATAGAATTCAGTATATAATTAAGCTTTGCCGAAGTCATAATAATATGTACTCATTATTTTACCCAAAAACAAAATAAAATCCTTTGGTTAAAAAAAGGGAAAAAACATACATACACTCTCCAAAGTCCCCCGACCCCTTAGGGCTTGTTAGGATTGAGGGGAATGAGGGTGAAGGGAAGTTAGGGGAACCATTCACCTCCATTCACCTTGTTTGGGAACACTTAGGAGGTGAAGTTAATTCACCTCCATTCACCTTGGTTCACCCCCTAATAGTATAAAAATTGTTACCCCCCAAATTGGGGTGTAACCAAGGGGAAGGGAATTCCCTTCCCTTCCCTTCCTTTCTCTTCCCTTCCCTTCACTCAGTTTCCCTTAACTTTCCTTTACCCCCTACGAATCCAAACAGGCCCTAAATCACAATAGTCGACCGGCCATGCCGACCGAACTATCGTCAGCAGGACCTGCGCCTTCCTCTTTGCCCTCTTCGATCACCCGCTCTGAACCATCACCAAAAGCTAAGTCACCACCCACCGCTACCGCCTTCCTCTGCAGCCCCTCCGTCGTCCCCGCCATGGCCATCATCGCCCGGGCCGCGTGCTCCCCCATAATTCATCTAAAATCCTAAATCAAATCTTTCATCGCTCAATAAACAAGCAAATAGAAAACAACAAAACCCAAAATACCCAAACCCCAAAAACCCCTCACCTCCTTCTTGATATCCTTGACGCAACTCTTGAGCACAGCAGCGAGCAACCCTTGTAGGATCTGACCAAGTACACACTAAACATTAAAGGGGGTGAATAGTATTTATTTAAAATTTTTGCAAAGTAGACTATAAATTATAAAAAAGATAACAACAATCACAAAAAATAACAATCACAAACACAAGCTTTTATACTGGTTCTACCACTCCGGGGTACATTTAGTCCCTAAGCAAATCTCGCTTGAGATTTTCACTATGATTTTAAAAAACTATTACAAAATCAAAAGCAAACCTGACTAATTTGCAAGACCATGCAAATTGCAACAATCTTAAAACCAAGAGATCTTCTCACACCCGAGAGAAATCTTTCTTTGATGAAAGAACACAATTCCTATAAGCATTGAATGTGTAGTGAAGTGCAGCAGTGGCTTAGAAACTCTTTTAATCTCTGAATATTGCCTATAAAACTTTTATGTATGATGAAGATAAATGGCTATTTCAGAAACTCTCTTTTATCAACACTAAGGCTAAAAATCTGATTTTTTTAACACTTGAATTTGCACAAAAGTTTAATCTTACAGTATAAATTTTGGTGGCAAATTTTGAACTTTAATACCTATTTATATCCTCTAAAAAGACAAAATTTTAAACCCAAATAATGTTCACAAACGGCTATAAAACAATCATAAATTTAAACTTCAAAATCTGAAAAAATTATATCTGTAGTCGACTAATTGTCTTAGTAGTTGACTACACTAAGTCTAAACAGACTCTGTGAAGTCAGAAAATTTCTTAGTAGTCGACTATTATAGTCATTAGTCGACTACACTGTAAAAATAAACGTTCTGGAATTTTGAACTGACTATTAGTAGTCGACTATAAATCCTAGTAATCGACTATACTGTAATTTCACAGAAACTAGAATTTTGTCTGAGTCTTTAATAGTCGACTACAATATGTATTAGTCGACTACACTATAAAATAACAGAAACTGATATTTTGACCAAGGCTTTAGTAGTCGACTACTATTCTTATTGGTCGACTACTAAGGGGTAAATATGAGATATATGAAGTATTTTGAGACTCATTCTTTATCTATAAACTCTAATGGTTAACATAGGGGATTTTTATTATTAACCACACACTAAGCATGTGTTAGTGTGTTCTAAACACTATGTGTGTGTATGTGTTGTGAGTGATCAAGGCTTGTATAATAAATCTAAGTAAAGAAAATGTAAAAGTTATATTATGACGTTTATGCACTTCTTCTTCTTTACATCTTGTTGCCTTGAGCTCATCCTGCACTTTGTTCACATATCTTGATCATATTTGATGTTAATATCTGCATAGATATGTTAGTGCATAATAATACACATAGTATATAAGTTGTTATCATCAAAACTATATATTAGGATCAATATATCCAACAATCCTAGCTGGTGATTTTGAGAGATTAATGAAGAGGCGGGAGGGAGGAAGGAGAAAAAGGGAGAGAACAATGGAAAGGCAGGAGAAAAAGGAGGCAAAAGAGGGGATGAGAGAGAGCTGCAACCCAAGTTTTCCCCTTTTCCTTCCAGCATCAAAGGAACTGTACGGCTCAAATTTTTTATATCGGCTTTATTCACTTTTCTCCGATTTTAGTCTTTTGGGGACGGAAACTGACTCACCTCCAAATCCTACGTGGTGTTTGTTTTCTCTTCCTCTTTTCTGTTTTATTTTGGCAAGCCAAACATAAAGAGGGGGGAGGGGGGTGACGGGGGAAACTGACAATTTTTTGTGTCAGTTTTTTTTGGGGCTTTTCTGCACTTCTTTGACCAACCAAACACCCCCTTAGTCTTTACTGCTCGGCTTAATTGCACTTAAATACCCTATAGTTTTCCCTACTTTGCCATTATATAGCCTCACTTTTTTTTGACAATACTTACATACTTTAAAGTTTTTATAACTTGCACTTAAATACTCTAAAGGTTTTAAAACTTGCACATAACACTCCAAAGTTTTTAAAACTTACACTTAAATACCGTCAAGTTTGCATAACTGAGGGTTTTTATGTGAGCGTTTTTAAAACTATAGCGTATTTAAATGCAAGTTTTAAAAACTTTAGGGTATACCAATGCCGCTAAAAATAAGGGTATATAAGTGCAAGTTTTAGAAACTTTACGGTCTATAAGTAATGCCAAAAACAAAGTGAGGGCATAGAAGTTCAAAGCAGAGGAAACTACAGGCTTTTTTAATTGTCAGTTGTTATGATATATGAACGTCACTAGGTTTCGAACCATGTGATGCACTGTTTGCTGACTTATATTTGACGCTTCAACCGCTTAAGAAAGCTAGCCTTCAGGCAATTCACCAAAAATGAACTTAGGAATCATTTGGAGCAGGTAGAAAGCGTTGGTCTACAGAGTAGGTTGTCATACTAGCAAATCTCACGTAGAATTCAGTGTGTATATGTTAGTTAAAATTCATGCTTTAGACATTCCACTGAAAATCTCGCACAGCAACATCAAAGCCCCTGAAAAAGCTTGGGTAGCAAATTCGAACTCACCCACTCTCATTAACCTTTCCCTCATTACTCTCTAAAAACACCTCATCACCACATCAGACTCTACAACATGTTTCAAGGGGAAAGGAGCAGCTCTCTACGTTAACATCATAACTATCAAACTATACACCAACAGAAAACCAAGACAAGAAAACTAACCTAACCCTAATTTTAATTAGACTTCGAGATGGAGTCCTCACTACCCTCTCTACCCTCCTCAACCGAATACCGCCCTCGTCGCCATTCGGATCCCCCTCACCCAGAGCTCCGCCATCTCCTTCCCGCCGTCGCAAACAAAATGAAACTCCTTCCCCTTCGTTGTCACCACCCTGAACAACCCCGGCTCAAATCCATCACCCTTCCTCCTCCGATTTCTCTGAAATGCCGCGCTCCCCCCTAAATGCGCCTCTCTACAGACTACATTTCTCCGGTTCGACCTCCCCCATCTCAAAACTCCGGCCCCTCCGACCATCCTCAGCCCTTTACTATGTGCCACTCCCTTCCCTCTCTTTGTGTGCTTCTTCACTCTCGCACCCTGCATCACCAAAACCCTCGCCATCTCGTCCAATATAACCTCCTCTGCTTCGTTCCCAAACATTGAGTTCTCCCTTGCAAGGGATAGCGCGGTTTCCCCTCCTGCGGTTTTGATATCGCATTTTGCACCGGAGGCGATGAGAAGCTCGCAGAGCTTCCCATGGCCTTCTCTTGCGGCTAACATTAAGGGGGTGTACCCATCAGTGTCCGTGAGATTGACGTTGTGCCCTCGGTTCGTTAGTAGACGGACTGCAGCTAGGTCACCACGCCGTGCAGCACAGTGGAGGGCATAGAATCCTCCGGCGCCTCCTTTTTCTAGAGCAAATTCCAGCATCACCTGCTCGAAGAGCTCGCTGTTATTGTTCGATTGAGAGAGCTTGATTGCCGTCTCTCCAGACTTGTTGGTTAACTTAACATTGGCTCCGGCAAAGACTAGTAGCCTGAATGCATCAGCGTGGCCTTCCTTCGCAGCGAACATCAGGGCAGTGAACCCGTTCTCATCTTGCTCGTCAATGTCGACATCAGCAGGCATTAACAATGCTTCCAGAGCTCTTACATCACCGCTACGAGCAACGAACATAATGGGTGAGAAAACAGCACGGTCGCTCGTTTTCGGTACCGACCCGGAACGGATCGCATCGAGAACAGCACGCTGAAAACCAATGCTCCACCGGTTCGAAGCGGCGACCGTTATCGCTGAGGCACCAGCGTCATTAACCAGACTGAGGTCTGCACCTCCTGATACAAGCACTCGAGCACAATGCTCTCTTTTATACCGAGCACATAACATCAATGCTGTGTCTCCAGTTTCTGTTCTTGAGTTTAGATCGCATCCCTTATCGATCAAGCACTGGAGTATCGCCGCGTGGCCAAGACGAGCAGCCATATCAGCCATATGGACTGGCCGGAACTCAATTTTCTGGCCAGTCTTTACGACTAGCTCGACATCAGCCCCGCAAGACAGGAGAGCAGCAACTGCAGGGGTATTGGAGCAGAGAATTGCATGGTGGAGGAGGCTACGGCCGAGGTGGAGAGAGTTGGGGGAGTAATGGTTGAGGAGCATTCGAAGAATGGTTCCGGTGGATTCAAAGTACTCGACAGCGCACCAGGCAACATTGTAGGGCTCGGCAAGACCAGCACCAACTCGGAACTCCTCGCCAGAGGCGATGTCCCATGACCATGCGCCTAAGTTTACTTTGATATCTTTTCTTACTCCGGCTTGTAGTAATTGGCGCACGATGGCGACCTGGCGGCTGACGATGGCCGCAACCAGGGCAGTACAGTCGACATTGGTGTGCAAAGAGGGCTTGAGTGAGCGGAGCAGCATGCGGTCCGTCACGTTGGCGTCAACTCCACACTGTAATTGAAGGTAAAATTGTCAGGCAAGTAGAAGGTTTCTTGGTAATTTTTTTAAGTAATAAATTTAGTTCAACATAGAGAAAAGCGTGTTGAATTAAGAAAAATCACAAGATCCACTGAATCTGGAAGACTAAATCGTGCACATGATGTACTTTATTGGGGTGTCACATGAACATCATCTGGGAGTAGGTAGATTATGTAAATTGATTACCTCTCTAGAAACTGGCAGACATTGTTTATCATTGATAAATTCAATAGCACTGGTTACATTAAAAGACTTGAACATGGAAAAAAGTGACATTTTTTTATAAAAGTATTGGCTGATTTAGATGAAATCTACTTCCAACTTCTTGCCATGTTGCAGGCGTTTACCCTCTTTGTTTCATAAGGAAACACTATTAAGTGAATTCATCCTCTCCATTATGATTAGACATTAGAGTCCACTTTTTAATCACAATAATGTATTATTTAATGGATGAATACGGATTTGTGTTAAGTACATGAATGCAAGCCACAAAGAAAATGAGTGTTAATTTACTGTTATGCTTCAGTAACCTTGACTCAGCAAAAATCTCTGCCGAAAGTATCTCATAGATGACATGTTAGTATATATGATCACTTGAAAAAATGAAAAATTTAGTATATTAACAACTCAAGAGTAAGGTACCTTAATGAGTGTGTCAACAACATCAACAAATCCCCGAGAGCAAGCACAGACTAAGGCATGAACAGCAACGTGAGGCCTGACTAGATCAGATCCCATAAGGAGCTCAGCTAGTTTAGCCCTCCCATGGAAACAGGCTTCAAGCAGCGCTTCCTCACATGCCTGCTGCCCTGCCCCGGCCTTAAGCAGCACCACCAGCACGTCCGCCCTTCCCTCCCTCACTGCAGCTGTCGTTGCATAGCCACGGAATAATTTTTGGTTCACATCAGCCCCCGAACTCTGCATCCAAATCATCCAAATGCATTAGTACAGAAACAGAGATAGTATAATTAAATGTATACTTATAACTCTCATTTAAAAAAATGCCAGTTTTGCACAAGGAAAGAAATTTAAAGTGGCATCAGAGCAACGCAAGTTCAAATTACACCAAATATATGTCTACAGTCGATATCCCTATACGAAAGTCTGCATCCCAATCGAATTGCAACCATCCAAATACAACAGTATAGGAACAGAAGTAGCACAACATGTGTTAAAAAATAGAAGTTTAACAAATAGAAGTTCAACTCAGCATGGGAATTAAGGAGTTTCGGAATAACAGAAATTCAGAATGAATTCCAAGATGGCAGCAAAGCGATCCACATTTAAATTTGCAGGATAAGTGTCTAAAAAAGCAGATTTAGAAAGTCTTGCTACACAAAAACCTAGATTTCAGTTCATACAAATACCCTCAGCCTCAATCTACTTAAAAGATAAAAGTATAAAATTATAAAGAAAAAAATGCTAAAAGATGGCAGTTCGTTTTACTACTGAGCAATCAGAGATAAACCAGTGGTGAGACCCGCCTACTAGTCGCATCTGGTCCATTGGCCCAGGGACCTCACCACTTTCAATACTCATTTCGTTAAATAAGATGTCATCTCATGTACAACATACCCAATTATAATTATATTAGTTCAGAATTTAGGTAAAATGGAAAGTTCTCAAAAAACATGAGGCACCACTAATTTACTGTGGGCCAGTTAGAAGTGACAAAGACATGCAATGGGGGCAGGTAGCAAGGAGATATGAGGCCAGAGTGTAAGTTATGATCATGAACTCTGTTCTAATGTAAGTCAGTTCTAATAGATAGGTCGAACCCAAGAACAGGACCCTCATCATGGATTAAAAGAACCTTAAATGGGCCATTATCAGGTATGATTCGAGAGCTCTGGCTCAGGTTTTACAGCTGGAAGTTCAGAATGCATGCATCTAAGCCACTCACAAAGTGTACTGAGAGCGCTATAAATAGAGAGGAGAAAGAGACATTAGCTTTTGGTCAGTTCTACTAGGGGACAAGTTGTTGGTAGTATAAGAACAGGAGTAAGAAAACAAAATACAGGATATGGGTCAGAGTTAACACTGAATAAGGAGATTTTGTGTGGCATATGTTTTCCCCCTTATTTTTGTTTTTTTTTTTTTTTTTTTTTTTTTT